GAAGCAACTCTCGGCTTGTCATCTGCACATCCCAGGGCGGGAAGGAGCCGGGAAGACAGGAAGACATTTTCACTCAAAGTCGCGGCCTCTTGGTTCTTTTTTTTTTTTTTTTAGGCAAGTGTTTTACGAAAGCTTACCCAAGAAAGTAAGTGTATTACGAAAATTTATTTTTAAAAAGTAAGTGTTTTACGAAAGCTTACCCCTAAAAAGGTAAGAGTTTTAGGAAAGCTTACCCCCTAAAAAGGTACGTGTTTTACGGTTTTTGGGACACCTGAATAGACATAAGGGTCTTTAACATCAAGCTCTCACTGGCAACATTGAAGGCAAACGAGGCAGGGGTAGGCCCAGAGCAACCTACTTAGGGAACTTAAACAAATGGGTAACGGGGAAAGATCAGGGAAACGTAGCTTTTTTGAGAGCATCCGAGCTGTTAAGGTAAAAAAACATGACAAGGCAACTATGCAATTTTTTCAAAACGACACTCCTCGGGATACCCCCCCCCCCCTTCCGGGTGCTTAAAAGCGACCATTTAAGAGACGGGAGTTCTGAATTTAACGTCTGTCTCCGATAGGACAAAGCCAAACAGTTCGAGAGCCTTTTAAAACCCGACAAAACGATACAAGTTCCAGGACGCCCTCTGTTGGATTCGACCCAGAGCCATCCGGTCCGGACTCCAGCATGTCACCGACTGAGGCAACGGAGTGCCTTGTTGAAGATCTCAACCATAGACAGTATGATCAATTGCTGTATAACAGCATGGGCCGGGAACACAAGACAACAAGATAAAGAAAAATTACATTGATTAATACGGAAAGCATGAAAATTTTCAATACCTACATTCCCCTATTTGGATGAATTAGCTTGCACTGAGAAAATTAATTCCATCTTTTGGGACAATAAACAGGCCTCGTTCGCTCAAATAAAAATATCAGTCAGAAGTAAAAGACCTAGGCTTCTGATCTGTAACAAAGAAATATACAGAAGGTCATTCTTACCTTCATCCATCAAACTTCGTCCATCTTAACCATCTTGTCACAAGTATTCATATGACCATAAAGCATGCGTCAGAATAACATTGAGTTACAGTCAGAATACTGGGTATGTATCTAGCTTAAGATTATTATTGTTTCGATTACTGTTCATATATTAAACATTTGATATTATGTATATAACTGAAAGCCTGCGTGTGTGTGCGTGTGTGTGTGCGTAAGTGTGTGTGTGTGTGTGTGTG